CAGCGATTGGGAGAAACTCAAACGCGCCGCCTTAGACGCCGCGAATATGTCCCACGCGCCGTACAGTAGATGTCCGTCGGGAGTTGCATTAATGGACGCGGATGGACAAATATACAAAGGATCATATATGGAATCGGCTGCATACAATCCAAGTATGGGGCCAGTGCAGACAGCAATAGTGTCGTACGTCGCCGGTGGCGGCGGCGGGTATGAAAGAATCGTCGCGGCCGTGTTGGTGGAGAAGGACGGCGTGGATGTGAAGCAAGAACACACGGCAAGGCTGCTACTACAGACCATCTCGCCGGAATGTGAATTTAGAGTGGTTCACTGTGTCGCCGCCGTGTGATTGGGCGGACGAAATAAATTATTGGAGAAGGAATTGAAATGTTTACTGCACTATATTAAATATGATTTCGTTCACAAATAATTTTTTAAATTTAAAAAAAAAAAAAAAAAAACTCTTGAGAAATAAATGGATCGTTCTTTTTTTTTTTTTCTTTTTTCTTTAATTTTTGGGTCAATTCAATCAGATGTTTTAGAGAGTTTGGATTTTTTTAATGAAATCTGATGTAATAATTACTCAAAACCATATTGTCAATTTGTTTTAAAAAAAAAATACAAAATTAGTTATTTAAAAAAAATAATGATTAAAATAAATATTTTTAAAAATAGGGAATAAAAATAAATGAATTTAGAGGGACGGAGACAATAATTGATGATAATAAAAAGAATATTGTATAAAGTCTTATTATAAACAAATAACAATAGGTTTTGAAAGATTAAATCATTGAACGGGTTTGAGTCTAGGAGGCCTAGGTGCCTCGACCTTCGACCTATTAGAGGTTGACCCACACATAGTCTGATGTTTACATCGTTTCACTTTAGAGTCAAGTTTGTAGTCAATAATCTCATTTCTAACAATTATCCCACTCCCAAGTTGAGACTTGTGGATCTCTCGTCATATTTCTCATTTAACCATAGGTTTAGGTTTCTCATTTAACGTAGGTTTAGGTTTCTCATTTAACCATATATTTAGGTTCTGGTCGAGAGTCCATCCATGGCGAGGCTTAGAAGTAGCTCGAGAAGTTCATTGGGCTCATCTCAAAGGTTGTTCATATTCAAGCTCCACGTGTGGTCCAAGACACAAAGATAAAAGATGTAGCATGAATAAGGGATAAATAATGACCCAACTCCAACGAGTCACGACCTCTAATGTGAGGTTGTGACCAAACCACACGAGTTAGCAAGGCTCCAAGAGGCTGAGCCATCACATGGGTCCGCCATAGTCAAAACTGAGTCCTAGAGATTATTTTGTACAAAGCCCTTCCCCTCATCTTCTAATTGAAACAAAATCCACGCAAGATTTTTGGTCGATCGAGATGGCGATTGACAAGCCCCACGCTTTGCAATTCCATAATATCTCTCTATAAGTAAAGATATAAATAAGGAGATCTCTGCATTGTTTTAAATTCTGTTGATTAGATAGATGCAGATAGGAGGAGGAAAGCTCAGATCTTGTAGCTGGACCATCTCCATCCATGCCTTCGTGTGCTGAGGCCTAACGCGATGCATGCGCTTGCCTGAGAAGCATAATGCAGGTTCGATAAAGGGACTGGCTCCGTTGGAATTGTTCCATATGTCCCCATATCCCTCCTTTGCCTGTTACAGAGATGGAGTCGGGGAAAGGGGACGGGGAAGAGATTGAGAGGAGGGCGGGGGGAGTGAAAGCAGAGGGGTGCCATGTAAGGAAGGAGGAGGTTGAAGCCATTTTGGTAGAGCCTAAAAACAAGTCAATAGTGTTTGAGCTGTAAAAATCATCAGCCAAAACATATATGGAAGGCTTGTCTAGCCAGTATTTAGTCTCCTATAAGGCAGCTGCTAGACTACAGAGTAGCTATGACCTATATCTTTAAACAAGCCTAACAATCACTTAAACATAGCCCTCATGCTTTAAACGTCTCGTTGAGATATAACGACGACGAAGTAGATGATAAGATTCAACCAGGAAAGCCACAAAGATGAATGATTATTGATGAGCGTACCAGTTTCTTGAGCAAACAGCAAATACTCGGGCCATTAACTTGCTAGAGCTTTCACTTGGTGTGTGCAGGGACTTCACCCCTCATTACTCTCCAGGGTCCATAATAAAACTTTGGTTTCATTAGAGGTACATCTTCCCCAGGATGATCTTCCCAATACTTTTCCTGCACATTTTCATAAGGACTACTGAGGTTGATATAGCTACCACAAATTATGCTTTTAGCATCTTAGATCCTACACCAGGTTGTATCACCGTCAGCTTCACAGTTTTAAAACGTTTCTACTAGGGAGAGGTTTCCACACCCTTACAAGGAATATTTTGTTTCCCTCTCCAACCGAGGTGGGATCTCAAAATCCACCCCCTTGATGGCCTAATGTCCTCGCCGACACATCACTCTATGTCTGACTTTGATACCATTTGTAACAGCTCAAGCCAACCGCTAGCAGATATTGTCCGCTTTGACTTGTTACGTATCACCGTTAGCCTCATGGTTTTAAAACACGTCTACTAAGGAGAGGTTTCCATACTTTTGTAACGAATGCTTCGTTCCTCTCTCCAACCGAGGTGGGATCTCACAATCCACCCCTTTTGGGGGCCAACGTCCTCGTTACCACACCACCCGACGTCCAACTCTGATACCATTTGTAATATTCCAAGCCCACCGCTAGCCGATATTGTCTACTTTGACCCGTTACGTATCACCGTTAGCCTCACGGTTTTAAAACACGTCTACTAGGGAAAGGTTTTCATACTCTTGTAACGAATGCTTCGTTCCCCTCTTCCCCTCTCCAACCGAGGTGGGATCTCACAATCCACCCTCTTGGGAAAAAATGTCATCGCTACCACACCACCCCGTGTCTAGTGATACCATTTGTAACAGCTCAAGCCTAACACTAGCAAATATTATCCACTTTGGCCCATTACGCATCACCATCAGTCTCACGGTTTTTAAATGCATCTATTAGGGAGAAGTTTCTATACCCTTACAACCTCTCTAACCGAGGTGAGATCTCACTAGGATTTAAACAGAATTTCACTTTCTTCTTACGATCAGAAACCAATCTTTCAGATACATGAAAAGAATGTACAAGAACATACAAAAAAAGAGCAATCCCAAATCCAAAGAACTACCACGAAGAACTCCAATTTAGAAGAATTAAACCTAGATGATAACTACAAAAATCCTTAGCCACTTAAGCCATGCCAAGGCATTAAACCCTAATCACCACCCTCAATTGAATAGAATCAAAAGCACTTGGATAAACACGCTCAAGTTAAACGATAAATTGGGGGAAAACAATCGAGGCAACAATGGCAAAATTACCTTGTAGAGCTGCTCGGTAATGGCAGCGCCGACGACCCCAGTGTAAAAGGCAGCAATATAGATGGTAACCAACGGCGTAAACGATTTAGGTCGCCTATACGGATCAACCATGTCCCATAGAATCGTTCTTTCCCACTTGGTGTAGAGATAATCGGCGTACTTCCTCCATAGATAGCTCGCCATTTCGAGCACAACCAGCGATTGATTCGTCGAATACAAGGCTACTGGAAAGAGACGAATTAAGATTGGAAACGAAAACAGTTCCAGAATCGGCGGTTGGTGAGTGGCGGTGCAATGCAATGAAGAGCTTTGTAGAGGGGAGGAAAATAGAAAAGCCCAATAAGGATGAGAATTGGGTCAGCTTCATCTTCAAGCTTGGGCTTCTCTTCTCTTCATCCAATTTATCCAGACGGTCAAAGAAAAATCACAATAATATTATTAATAATATTATTGAATCTTTTACGGATATATATATATATATTATTTTATTTTATTTTTTTTAATTATGAGTGAATTTAAAAAAGAAAAAGTCAACGGTACAAAATAAGAAGACAGTTAAAACGGTAAGAATAGAGAGGAGGGTTTTTTTTCTTTTTTTTTTTTTTTTTTAAAAAAAAGCTGATTTTTTCCAGCTGTGTGTGTCATCCACCAATCACCATCGTCTATTCACTTTTTAAGAACTTGAAAGTTCATGGTGAAAATATTTAAATGATTATTATTATTTTTTAAATACACTTAAATGATAATTGTTCAACTTGTACCAAACTTCTATCCATTCAGATTTAGAGATAAATGAGCGGTAGACTAAGACCATTTTCAAATGAGAGGAATTCTGAAGATAGAATGATTACGAAATGCTCAAAGAAAATGAAAGTTACTACCTATACTAATAAGTGTACCTATCTTTTTTTTAGCTCAATCATAGGAATTACATAGTTGAATGTGCTTTACTGGTAACCTCCTAAGAATTTTTCTCTAATGTATGTGAGTGAAGATAAAACATATGCGAAATAGTCTTTACTCAAAGAATAAAAAGTAGGTACGGTCATCAAAGGCGAATTTAGATTCTGAATCCTTATCAAAATTATGAACCATGAGGTCCTGTTGTATATGTAATTTTAAGGGGCCTTAGATTTTATTGGTCTTTTTCTATGTCTAATAATTTTAATTTTAATTTTTAATTTTTATCTTATACCATCTTTGAGAAAAATGGGATATATTAATTATATTGGATCAGATAATGTTTGGTTAATGTCAAACAAGTAATTATTTGTTAACCACATAAAATAATAGCATATTAGTCACAATATTTTGCAAAAATGATAAAAATTTTAAATATGTTTATATTTTATTATTTAATTAAATTATGTTAAAAAAATATACAATAATATACACACACATATACAATAATATATATATATATATATATATATATACAATAATATACACACACATATACAATAATATATATATATATATATATATATATATATATAGTCTCAATGTCTTGTTTCTAATTATTTGAAAACTTTTTATCTTTAAAATGCATTACCATTTAATAGAAAATTAAATTAACAAAGAAAAGGTTATAAAATTTATAAAAAAAAAAATATATATATATATATAATTAATTAATTAATTAATTATAAAATTCAACCATGAAGAAGGCCATAAGATAGGGTCATGAGCAAAATTGCCGCTTCTCTTTCGTCCTGTGGGAAAACTCGCTGGTAAGAGGAAGAAATCTCGCTCAAACGCCGCCCGATTTTTATATCTTCAAAACAACCCTTCTTTCCGCCGCCGCCGCCGCCGGCGGCTACCACGACGTCGTCTTTCCGCTTCCTTTTCAATTTCTTCGCTGCCGGCTTTGTCATTATCTTGTGTTGCACCGCCTTGTTCGTCTTCAGAATTATTGCCGCCGACTTTCCGCCGCATGGAACACCGCCGTTCACTGCCGCCGCTTCCGCCATCGCTCGTCTTGCTTTTCTCTGCCGGATTCCACAGGCGTTGCAAAGAGACTGCACAATAATAGAAAAATTATAACCCCAAATTTAACGAACCCTAGAATTGTTTAATTCCCAAGCCATTTATAATCACAATAAATACATAAATAAATAAATAATATATATATATATATATATCTTTAAATAGAATAGAAGCTACCCTATAAAAAAATATATATTAATAATAAACTCAATTTCTAAAAAAAAATATTAATTAATTAGATATACAGTCAACCATTTCAAAAAAAAAAATTAATTAATTAAAGCTATATAAAATATATTTCACAACTATTGAAAATAAATTATACTCCACAATTAATAAAAAAATATTCCAAAAGATAAAATATATTTCTCTCTAATAAAAAAATATACTACTAATTAACTTGTTTTTAGAAAAAAAAATTAATTAATTATATCTTAAATTAAATTTCATATTTTTTTTTTAAAAAAAAGTAAAAAAGAATGGTGTTTTAAATGAAATGAAATTACCTTAGGGCCTCTTGGGCCGCTCCTCCAAAGGGGAGTTTTTGTGGTGTTACACTCGGAACAAGTTCTGATTATGGCGGCGCCGTCGTTTAGCATGGTTGTCCGGTTAAGATCATGGGAGTTTCGAGCGCCGTCGATCATCTGGGTGGCGGTGTTGATTTGGTTAGAATTTATCAGCAATCTAATCTTAGAAGAAGAAGACCAGTTGACCAAATCATTATGAGTATTATGATTCTCACAGCAGCTTGAGCTTTCACTCTATGAATCAGAAAAATTAAAAAATTAAAAAAAATCACAACTTTTTGAAAAATAAATTAAAGGGTCGTCGGAATTGTAAATATACCTCGTGTTTGAGCTGCAGCCGGCGTGGGTCGTCGGAGTTGGAGTGATCGGGGGCAGGGAAAGAAAGGGAGGAGGAGGAGGAGGAGGAGGAGGAGGATGAGGTGGCGGTGGTGGTGGGGAAGAAGAGGTGGTGGGAAGAGGAACGGCGGAGAAGGTCGTCGTGATAAGGCGGAGCCATGGCGGAGGAGAGGGCGGAAGGGAGAGAGGGCAAAAGAATAGGGCGGAGGGGAGAGGGGGAGCTGGGCCTAGGGGTTAATAAATGAGACATTCACGTGCCTTTCAGGACAAAGAAAGAAACAAAAACTTTAAGAAAGACAATCTCACCAGAAATTTGAATGAGTGGAATTCTGCTACACAGACCCCATTTCACACCATAAAACCCTATCTCTTCCTTTCTTCCAACACATATAATCTATATTCAACTAAACCCGAAACCCGAAACCCTACTATCTAAATTACCCGAGTTTCAAATTTAATAGTTTTCGATGATCGTCGTTTGCTATCTGTATATAGGTTGAGATTTAGGAAAAAACATATGTGAGATCTCACGTTAGTTGGAGAGGGGAATGAAACATTACACCTCTCCCTAGTATATGCATTTTAAAATTGTTGCTGATGGCTATATGTATCTCCCCAAAGCGGAAAATATTTGCTAGTGATGAGTTTAAACTGTTATAAATGGTATCAAAACCCGATACCAGGTGATGGATTGTGAGACCCCATATCAGTTAGAGAGGGGAACAGTGTGAAAACCTCCCCCTAGCCAATACGTTTTAAAACTGTGAAGTTATACGTAATGGGGCAAAACGGACAATATTTGTTAGTAGTGGGTTTGGGGTGTCACAGTATTTCAATGGTAGTGTCATAGTAATAGTTAGATGTGATTTAAAAAATCGGCACCTTTGTAGTAAACCTTAACAATTTTCTTTTCGTGCGTTCAATATGAGCGTTGGAGATTCGAATCTTGAGTCTTTGGGTCAAGAGTACATACTGGAAGTTTACACGGGTTGGATCGGAGTTTCTTGGATCTATCCAAACTTTCGGATTGATTAGGTTGGATGTCTCAAATGACTAGTTCACACCCAACTCAACCTTCTATTTTTGAATTGGCAGAGTGGAGTTAATGTTTTTAAATTATTTTATTTCACTACTAAATTTGTAATATAATATAATATAATATATTTGTTTAAATAAGACATGAAATAAAACATTTAAAAAAACAAGTTTAAATAAATAAATAAGATTTTAAAATAAAAATTGATTTAAAAGGACAAGTGAAAGAAAAAAATAGAGAGCGTGAGGCCGCGTTTTGTCTTGAAACGTGAGACAGAGGGGGAAGAGTATGGAACTCTTTAAGATTTAAAAATTAATATAATATAATATAATATTTTTAACATATTAAGATAATAAAATAAAATAAAATAAAAAAAAATAAAAGAGAATATTAATGATAAAGAATAGGGCTACGTTAGGGGTTTGTTAATCACTCGCATAAGGTGTATATTGAATGGATGGAGGGTTACATTATCTCGCTTTCTTCCAAATTTGCCCCTACATTTCTACTCTCTCGCTCTCGTGCTTAATCACCTTAAATTGATCGATCCTTTTTTAAAAATTATAGTTTACGATAGAAGAAATTATTATTTTTCTTTTTGTGAAAATAAAATATATATTGAAAACCCATCTCTTCAAACGAATGATATATATTCAAATATTACCGTAAAAACAAATATAAATATGGGAATCGAAGTACATTTTCTTTTCTATATTACATACCAAGCTCCTTTTCTATCTACATTTAACATAAAAATAGTGTTTTGTTTGGGTATTCTTTTCCGTTATTCTCTTGTGAATGTGAGCACGGGATGTTCGGTCCCGGGACGTAAACCAACCAGCTCGAGTTTGGCGATCGGCTTGTGCAACTCGGGATGAACTATAATGTGAGAAATCTATGTGCATTTAATAAGAGTATAGAAATATGAGGCATGCATGGTTGAGGTTTTACTTGAAGACAGCCTCAATTGATAGTTTGTTGTGTTATATCAGGGAGTGGATCTCTTGACCAAAGAGATTGCCTCGGGATTGCCACCCAATTCTTCGAAAATCACCAATAGGTTCACGCTCGGTTCCAACCAGGCACGGGGAACGTGATACCATCTTTGTGAGGGCTCTCCACAGCTAGAATGACATTTCTTCTCATTAAAAGTTCCTGCATAGCTGCATTTGCCACAGCTACCCCGTGCGGTATATGTAGGCCAATGGCGCCCAATGCTCTGACCGTTAATCCATACCTGACCTTTACTCATGCTGCTCATGTCTAATGCTAATGCTTCGTCACCTCCCGGGGCATCGAAAGTCGTCTGCAGATTCGATACACAACACAAGTTTAGATCAGAGAAGCTGTAGAAATTTAAGGATGTTCATTTCAACTTGTCTCACCTTGTACCATGTGAGAGGCTGTTTTTGAGACACCAATGAGCCTGTCACCCATTCAACAGAGCTACTTCCACTAACAGTATGAAGATTCAAGGCTTCTCCTTTCAAGCCAACCTATTCAGAAATAGTGTTATTGAGATTCTCTAGCTTAGTTTCTAACAAATTTAGTACTATTGTACCTTGTACGACCATTTATATCCAGACATGTCTTTTGTTCCCTCGTTTAGACCCTTCAATGTGACAGGACCTAGAATGCCAGTGTTCCATGTCTCATAATGTTGGCCACCATTCTGACATTCAGCAAACAAAAAACGCTAAGACAAATTTTGTAATGGCCCAACGTCTTTGCCGATACACCGCCTCATATCCACCCCCCTTCGAGGTTCAGCCTCTTCGATGGAACATCGCCCAATGTCTGGCTCTTATATCATTAGTAATGACCCAAGCCCACTGCTAGCAGATATTGTCTCTTTGGGCTTTCCCTTTTGAGTTTCCCCTTAAAAACACGTTTGCTAGGGAGAGGTTTCGACACTCTTACAAAGAATGTTTTGTTCTCCTCTCCAACCGATGTGGGGTATCACAAATTTAGAATCAATGATGGTTTTGAATGCTGGAGATACTAACCGGGAGACCAACAGCGACACTCAGAATAGAAAGCTTGTTAATTCCTGCCCTTAGGGTAACGTATTTACTGAATGTTAATTTGTAATTCTCCGACCCCCCATATTCAGTTCCTACATTCATAATATCATATCATTTAGTTGATGTTTGGAAGATATTTAAGAATAAAATGTGTTAATTTTCATGTACCAGATAGTTGGCCATTTATGAACACATGCAAAACATGGCCAGCTGAAAAGATTGTGAGAAGAGGCCATTGTTCGCTCTTTAGAAAGCCTTCGTTGGGATCAATCATTATACTGAGAAAGATGAACATAAAATAATTTCTTTTCCAACATGTTTCCATAAAATGTTTGACAGAGGGCAAAGCTATGATAAGTGATGGAGTTCTTACTCTGTCATGTACCACAGATAGTCTGTTGCATCCCTGGTGACACTTATTTGCTCCACTAGCCCAGCCATGGTGGTTGTATCATCAGTATACGCAGAGGCTGTTTCTTCGTTGTATGAAAGCCATGAAAATGAACTAACTGGTGTCATTTTAGGCTGTGAGCTCGGAGCCTTGACCTGCAAAGATATCCAAACAAAGAAACTTTAGGTTTTGAAGAGTTTTAAAGGGTTCCATTAGCATATACTTTATCTAAACTTTTGGAGAGATCCCACCTAGGTTGGAGGGGAGAACAAATCATTCTTTATAAGGGTGTGAAAATCTCTCTCTAGCAAAAGCGTTTTAAAAATCTTGAGGGGAAGCCCGAAAGGAAAAGACAAAAGAGGACAATATTTGCTAGTGGTGGGTTTTGGTTGTACTAATGGTATTAGAGCCAGACACCGATCGATGTACCAACGAGAAGGTGGAGAGGGTGGACATGAGGTGGTGTGCCAACAAGGACGCTGGGCCACGAAGGAGGTGAATTGAGGGGTCTCACATCGATGGGAGAAGGAACGAGTGCCAGCAAGAACGCTACGCCTTGAAGGGAAGTGGATTATGAAATTTCACGTTGGTTGGAGAGGAGAACGAAACATTGTTCATAAGGGTATGGAAACCTAGCAAACGCGTTATAATCCCAACAACCATATAAGCACAAGAGGGTCTAAGTGAATTGAATCTCGTCTTACTATTGCAGTGTTGAAAATGGCAGATTTGCAGTCAGGAAGGATGCTAACGGACCAAGGTGGAAGGTCATATTGATTATTTCCAAAGGCGACTGTTGCAGACGACGATGCATCATAGTTTGCTAGAAAAGCAGCACATGCCCCTGTTCTTGTCTTGAAGACATGAGCCTTAAACAATCATAAACAAGATCAAATTAGACCATATTGCAAAGAAAAATGCATCAATAGTTACATGATCTTTCATCAGCTAGATCATGATATTACCTCTTGGTTGCTTCCTAACGATGACACAGTAGGATCTACCGATACTAAAGCGGGTTCGCACAGCTTGATGGCTTTGTGCAGATCTCTCAGATGACTCCATTTCGGTTCCCTTAATAGGCCTACCATATCCCAGAAGAAATATTAGAGTAATGATGAAAATATATGAAAGTTCTTTTTGAGAATGTAATCTTGGAAGCTACTACTGCCACGAGCTTACCATATTCATCGATGGGAGCATCATAGTCATAGCTAGTAGCTATGAAAGGCCCACCAGCAGTTCGGCCAAAGTTGGTTCCTCCATGATACTGACATGAGAGAAGATATTAAAAGAGTTAAGGATATGATATCATTTCCATTGATCAGCCAACCATTGTGAAACACTCTGGATTGGTAATTACCATATAATAATTAATGAAAGAACCACGATTCTGTATGAATCTTGCAACGGAATAGGCTAAGTCTTCAACTGGCCTATAAGGAACTGGGCCACCAAACTCAGTGAACCTTGAATATTTGAAGAACAGGGAGCATGTCAATTCTAATCCTTCGAAACTCAGAAATGTTTAGTCATAATTTGGTGATTGCAGGCAGAATAAGTTACTTACCAGCCAGTCCAAGCTTCTGTCCACATTTTGGGTTTATAAACCTTCTTGGGTTCGAAGTTTTCACAGTAAAACCCATTGCAGGTGTCAATCTGAAGTAGAACCAAGTAGATGGAAGGAAAGTGTGAGATCCTACCTCGGTTGGGGAGGAGAACAAAATATTATTTATAAAGATGTGGAAACCTCGTAGACGTGTTTTAAAAACCTTGAAGGAAAATCCAAAAGGGAAAGTCCAAAGAGAATAATATCTAACAAGTA